TTTTACAGCATTCTTAATTTTGTGTAGGAGTTCTTGCAACACCTTCTTCTCTTGGCTTTAATGAGTACTTATCCCTAACCAGCCATCTCCAACCATGCCATTATTCCTTTGAACATCCACACTGGCTGCCCTTTCTAAATCACATCAAACATGAGCTGGATGCTTTACCTGTCAAAGCCCTTAGCAGTGCTAATACCATTTCTCATGGAAAAAGAGATCTACTTCTATCCTTGATCAGCTCACAGTGGTATCCATTACTGGGTATCTGTAGGCACAACGTGTTTTCCATTCTGCTTTGTAGGAGCAGCTAAACTAGAAAACCACAGCACCATCCTCCTTCAAATCCTCCTTAGTAACTCTCCTGTACTACAGTTCTGACAAATGCTTACTGCTGATTGGGATCACAACTGACTTCTGTTATCCATCCAGTTCTCCTTTTCCAAAGCTATTTGTTCTGTTGGCTTAAACCTTTGAAGAAAGCTCTCTGCTACAAAGAGTCACTATTCTGACAGGAAAGGAGTGAATAACTGATACTCTGCACATTGCGCTGGGTTCTCCATCTCTAGGCAAACTCAAGAATGGTAGTTCTTCCAAAGGATCTCCATAAAACCAGAAAGGAGTTCTATCAGGGATCTCAGCTTGTCACATTCTCCTTTCATTTAAACACCTCACCAAAGGCAACTGCCCTTGTGACTGGAGACTGGGCAGGAGCTGCACTGGTGGGGTACTCCGTGCCCACGACACAGCAATAGTCTGTTGGCTGGTTCTCTCTCAGCTCTTACCCTGTTATAAGCATTTTGGAAAGCTTTACTGGAAGTAAACTAATAGTAATAGACCAACGTAACCCTGGTATAACATGCTGGCAGTTTGATATACTGGCATTTTATTCCTTTTTTCCATAGGGTGTAACAATTGTTACAATGTTGTACTCTGATTAACAGTGGGTTTTCACTTGTCTATGTTTGCAGAAAGAGTGGCAGATGAAATGATGCACTAGTTTTCTACTTTAATTCAAACTCCTGAGAGCTTCTACTTACTGGGTTTAAGATTTTTTCCTTCCTTCTGAAAAAACCCCATCTTAAATAAAAGCATCCCAAGGACTTAAAAAGACAATTTAGACATTTGTACATTTCACTTTTTTCCCCTCTCAATTTTAACTTTAAATGATCAAAGGTAAGTAAAAAATCTGAATCACTTCAGGCAAATTATAAATCAGCAAACATAGCTGCCAACTGAATCACAATAATCCATCATGACAATATTTCTGTAATTCTTTTGAATTATCAGTGTCTGGTTAGCAGGTTCAATTAACATCAAGAAAAACATGTAGACAATGAAACTCAAAGTATACCACTTTGCAAAAAATCCAGAATGATACAAATTATCAATTTATTCAATGATTTCTCCCATGTTAGAAGGCTGAGAGAAAGGGAAAGGGAAAGGCTTAAATGACACCTTTTCAGAGAAGCAGATTCCAAGCACAAGCTACTCTACACTCCCACATGATTACTCCGGTGAAGATTACACTAGATCAACAAAAGGTTCCACATAGAATAAAGATAAATCCGGTTCACTCAGTCTGGACTGTGCATCTGTACAAATTGCATCAAGTACTCTGCAGGTACTTTTTAACAACAGAGTTGTCTAGAAAATAGAGCCTGCAAGCCACTAGAAAGTGTAACATATGAGAAACATATGAAGAAACTTTCTCATATGAGCAGGAGTCTAAATTTCTTCACACTGAAATACAATTAGATTTAGCAACATTTTTGCAATGTTGAAAATATTATATTCCACTATGTGGAATATTATACAAATAGAAATCAGCATATAATAGTGATGCACAAATTCAACTTGTATGCTCATAAGGGGAGATTATAGAGCATGCCTGTATCAGCATCATGTTTAGTGTGTCCATAAATGGATACTAAATGGAATAGTCTGGGACATCTGTAACACAGCAATCATGGCTGCTGGAAAACATGAGGGAAATGGACTGCAAAAACTGGACAACAAACTCTTCCTAAATAGCATCTTCTAGTGCCACCACAGTACACAGAAAGTTGAGCTACAAGGACCATTGGCCTAACTCAGCAGGACACTGCTAATGTTCTTGAAATGTTCATGCACAAACTTCAGGGGGAAAAAAAACACCTCAAAAGAATATTTTTATCAGTCTTCTTGACACTCAGCAGAGTGAAAGGGATGTATTTCTGTAACATTTCTTGGCAATTCCCTCTACATCTCCAGAAGAGAGAGGTTTCTACAATATTCTTTGATATTACAAAACTGCATTTTTGGGTGGAAAATCATTCCTTCCAAAACTTTTACCCTCCTAAGATAAGTTTTAACCCATTAAATAAGTGTTGTTTTTTTTTTACTGTAAAAATAACGCATGCTTCCTCTATTTCCTATACAAATATATTGATGACTACAAAATACACTAGCATACTTATGTGACTCAAATTCAACCAAATTAATCTCAAATAGAGTATGCATAACTTTGCATCTTTTGAAAATGGACCGAGATGCTTCTTAAAAGTTCTACCTGATCTCTGTAGAAGTGAACTAAAGAAATATGTTGCACTGTGATTCTGGTTTACAGCAGCAAGTAAAAGCTGTGTAATACCTACCATTTACCTTGCTATGGCCTTTCAGCCTTCACTCTTTCTTGCCTAGGTTGTTCTTTGCAGCAGGCAAGGCCTGTGCCATTTGTTCTCCCCACCTACCCCAGACATACATCCCCACCTGTAGGGCCCTGATACAATTCCTCTCTGCTCCATCTTCCATCAGATGATTTCCAACTATCTCAGATATTTTCCCTTCTGAATTAACATCCAGAGCAGAATGAAATGGGCTACAGCACACTGTCTCAGCTGTGTCATCATGCTGCTGTCTGCTGACACCAAACTGCTAAGCTGATTCATCCCAAGTAAGGGATTTCTTTCCAACACAGACTCAGTAGGACAGTTCCTCCTGCCTGAGTCTCTGGTCACACATGGCAAAGCTTAATGCACCTGGCAGGGATCCTCCTTCCTGCAACATTCTGTACCATAAACGTGATTAGAACAACACCCAAGGAGGAGCAGATGTTCAGCTTAACTAAGTGCAGCCTACAGAGAGAAAGGCATTTCTGAACTGAGAGTCAAGAGTACTGTCATGCTGTACAGATGTTTCTTGTTTCACTTTCATTCCCATAAGCAGTTTTCTTAAAAATACATTGCATGGGACACATCTTGAAAAGCTGAAGATTTTTTATTCTAGGAAAAACCTCCCCAAACCCAAACATCAAAATACATGGACTCAAACATCCCAGTGAATAACTTTTTTGGTAACCTGCAGTGGTGATTCTAAATTCATTACTAAATGCTGAGTTTTACCATCTGTCACAACCCATTACTAGAGGAATTTGAGAAACTTTCTCTCCTAATCGTCTTGCCCACATATCCCATCAAGGAACACAAAATGGAGATGATGAAAAGATACCCATTCTTATAAACTGCAGGACACCTTAACTGCTGCTGTGAAAAGCAAACTGCAACTGTAAAGCTGCACACAAACTGATAAGAAGATGCCACTTAAACAGAGAAATCTGTTTTATTACAGTTTTCCTTCACATACACTATTATTAATAGGAAAGCTTCACCAAAGTCAATACTAAAATTTATTTTCCTGCTTATGCATATCTACACATACCAGCTGAAATTCATTGCATTCACAGATCTACATGTGCAGTGACAGAAAGCATCTAAGACTATTACACACACTCCATACTTGCACATGTACAGCCTGGCTTGATAAGAGTAAATATAAAACATACTCCATGTGTAGTCTGGTGTTTTTCACATAAAGAACATAATTCGTTGCAAAATATTAAAGCTAATATATAAACACTTGACTGCTTCCTCCCAGTCTGTTTCAGCCTGGCTGTTTGGCATCCATCCTTTACAGATCAGAAGTTTCACAGATGGGAGTTCCCAATGCCCAGCAGACACAATGGACACTGGATTTTCCAAGATGCTCACTTCACAAAGACCTGACACCTTTTGATGTCAATCTAACATAGTAATTTGTTATGATTTATGCAAATAATTCTTAAAAATATCTTCCAATGGAACACATAAGAATTTGGAATAGATTTTTTTAGACCTTAAGCATTGCTGATAGCTTGTTTCTAGAATTTGATAGCATTGTATCATTGAGATATTTGGTAGGAGATTTGTATTTACTTAGCTGACAAATCATAAAATTTGTCAACAACCAATTCTTCCATCTTAACCTTATCAAACGCTGATCAAAGGACAGCAAAAGTCTTGATTCCTAGGAAAAGCACACTATTGCTGTCAGAAATATTCTTCATTTTCCTTTGGATACAAGAGGAAGTTTTTACAGAACAGGCTGTGAATCTATAGAAACTGTAATGATCAAGACCTTTGCTCACAGATTACTCAAAACTAAAGACAAACACATCTTGCTCTGAACTTAATTTGAGGAAAATTAAGTGCTCTTCTCCTGCTGCTGTCAACAGCATTTGGGCAGTAGCTGCTTTTATTGGCTTACTTATCTGTTTGTGCATTTACCTCCCACAGAAAAAAAGGAATTCAGTTAAATAATTTTTATAATTTCATTTAGGAAAAAAAATCTCCATACTGTATTCTTTAACTGCTATGTCATATGTTAGTGATATTTAAAGAAATGCTACCACAAGAAGATTCCCATGGCAAGCCTTTCACCAAAGAAACATTTTGGGTAGCAAATCCTGTAAGTTTATTAGAATTTATATCGTAATTCGGAAGGCACAGGACTATCAGTGTAATATCAAGATAAGGACACTGAAGAATTTAATCAGAACAGTAAAAAGACTAAACAACAGCATTTATCACTTTGCATGCAACTACTCTTGAAAAAAATTACAAAATTACTTGCATCTCATTCATTGAGTTTATACTAAACAATGGAGTACCAACTAGAATAAACCTCCTTTTTTCTGTATTATTTACCTCAAGAACTAGCCAAAGCTGGTCTCCATTTTTCACATCTTTCTTATAGTACATGCCGTAGAATTTGACTACATTGGGATGATCAGAGAGAGCTTTCAAAATGTTGTACTCAGCTTCAATTTCTTCATCAATATCCTAGTGCAACAAATGAGAAATACATAGTAGTTAATAAATAAATAATGACAGCCATAAAAAAACCCAAAAAACAAACCACAAAGTATTTTCTGTCAATTCAAATGTAATTTGAAATGATACAAAGAAAAAAAAAATAGAATACAAATATACCATTTATAGAACTACAAAGCCTGGTTCTGTTTAGTGAATACAAACCAATTCTTTTTTTTAAATTTTGTCTTCAGCAATTTTGACTAATGAACATGTGGGGTGTGACAGGGCAGCCTTCTGGTCCTGGAGGACAAGTTGTCCATGAGCTAGAAGTGTGTCCTGGGGTGCAAGAAGGCTGATGGGATCCTCAGCTGTGTTAGGAAAAGCATTGCCAACATTTGAGGGAGGTGATCCTGCCCCTCTACTCAGCCCTGGCGAGCCCAAAACAGGAATGCTGTGTCCAGTTCTGGGTTCCTCAGTACAAGAAAGACATGGAGCTAATGGAGTGTGTCCAGAGGAGAGCTATGAAGATGATGAAGGAGTTGGAACATCTCTCTTATGAGGAAAGGCTGAGGGAGCCGGGCCTGTTCAGCTTCAAGAAGAGAAAAACTGAGAGTGAGCCTCAACAATCTCTACAAGTGTCTGAAGGGAGGGTGTCAAGAAGATGGATCCAGGCAATTCTCAGTGGTGCCAAGCAACAGGACGAGAGGCAATGGGTGGAACTGATGCACAGGAAGTTCCACCTGAATATGAGAAATTCTTTATTGCATGGGTGACAGAACACTGGAACAGGTTGCCCAGAGAGGTTGAGGAGTGTCCCTCTCTGGAGAGATTCAAGAACTCTCCAGATACAATCCTGTGCCATGCACTCTAGCAAGATACTGCTTGCACAGGGAGGTTAGATCATATGACCCCATCACTGGTCCCTTCCAACCTTAACTATTCTGTGATGTCAAGGCAAAGCCAGAGCAATCCACAAGAAGGTAGGTATTCATGTGCCTTGGGAAATTACGTGTTCCTGCTTTAGTTTTAATGGCGACCCCAGCTAGAAATGCTGCAGCTGAGACTACCTCTCTGTCTCTTTGTGCATGAACAAGTATGACTGCAACCACATCTGATTCATTTGTCATTCCACTTTCTAGAATTACCTGGGAATTCTTCTCATTTTCTGCTGTCATAGAAGCTGGTGACATCCATGGTCTCTCTGGGTTCTGCTACTGAACTATAATAATCATGGTTTTTTGTCACACTCCCATTACAGACCTTGGGTTTCTTAGTGAGGGAAATCCTTTTGCGGGTGAGATATGAGGACCAGTTTTGCCAGCAGATGCACTGGGAGCTGTGCAAATCCCTTCAGACCAAAAATGGACACAGGCATTGGCAGGCTTTAGCAGGCATTGGATGACTCCGGTAAACCTTTCCCACCTGTGCACTGGAATTGCTCATTGAGGGATGATGATTACACTGCATTTGAGTCATGCTGACAAAATATTCAATCCCTCTTGACAACAGATGAAAGCAAATATCTGCAGCCATTTTCCCCCCATTGTTTAGATCTCAAAAAAAAAAAAGGTTAACACATTCATTTCAGACTTAAAACATTTTTAATACAATTTGCTATTTACAACTACACAAAAAGAAGTGAAAAATCCTTTCTAGAAAAAGGCTCCCTTATGAACTGCCATATCCATATGAATGGATTTCATATCAGTGAAAAGCTCTGCTCAGTGCCAAAAACCTGTCTCAGCAAAGCGAAACAGAAGTGACCATGACAGAGAAAAGGGATGTTCTGTATTCCCAATGAATGATGCTCCTTCTCATTCTGTTCAACACAACTGCCCCAAAAGCACTCTCCTCACTTGTTTCTTATACAGGTCTCCACTATCCTATTCAAGTTCCTCACAGGAACCTTTTGCCTTGAGACCAGCTTGACTGTTCTCCAAGAACTTCCTCTGTCACCAGTATCATGAATCGTGCCATTAAACTTTCATTTTAAGATTACCAGGATAAGTCTTCTCACAAGAAAGGATTTTAGAGGTCTTGTTATGGGAACAATTGAAAAACAGCAGGAATTTTCCTCTTTCTAAAAAAGGAGAAACTCACTTAAAGGTAATTTTCCCCAGCACAACACAGAATACAGAAAAAAATACAAGGAAGGCAGAAATTACCAAAGTACTAAAGGTGGCAGAGAATGGAAAGAGAAAGAAGCAGGGATGAAAACAGAAAACACATCTGGCAAAAACAAAAGAAAGAAAAAAATATAGTCAAAAGCCAAAAATTAAAAACAAAGCATACAATAGTTTTGACTGCCTTGGGGAAATTGGAAGAGAATTAGCCCACTATCCTACTGTGAATTCATAGAAGTTTCTGTCTCCTGAGGGGTACTCAGATTTTATGAGATTTTTACAATTATAAGGAGAAATTAAATGATAGAATATTCATTCTGTGCCTACCAAAAAGAAAAATATTCTTCAGTATTTTATAAATGAAAAAACTTAAACTGTATTAGAAATGGCAGACTGAAAATTTTCATCCTATATATATGATAATTTGGCTAAGAGTTCTAAAGTACAATGGTATTTACTTATAGTCCTGAGGACAAGACTAAGCCTTCTCAGTTCCATCTTCATTTCAACACCTTTGCTTTCCTGTTTCAGTTTTAAAAAGCTGAGCTGTTACCCAGCAAAAAGAGTCTGTGCTCTAAAGGATTAAACATTAAAAGCTTATTTCAATCTTATATCACCCATGATAATGTAGGTTCCCAGTTTAATTTCAAAACATCAGTTAAACCAAACCATATTTCTTCTGCTTTGTTTCCTGTCTACCACTCAAGAGGCACAATTTTGAAATGATCTCCAAAGAAAAAGAATTGCAAAATGTAAAGAAGAAAATACATAAAGTATCTTTTCCTTTATTGCAATGGCTCCCTCTGCAGCCATTATTAATACTTTCAGTTTAAATAAAAAGAACTCATTTATTGCTTTCATTTTATTTCCAATACAGGATTGTCATTTTAGCAGTTACATGGAGGTAGAGCAGCTCCTCCAGACACCCTGTAAATAGAAGAGGGCAAAGAAGAATAGTGTTCTTAGAATAAAAAGGGTAAAACATTTATTTAAGAGTCAAGTCTTGGAGGATTGCACTACTACCACTTTTTCATTAAAATAAGGAACCTGTTTTTATCAGTTATATATTTGCCCATCTTCAATTTCTTATATTGCGTCTTTAGCCATCCTCTTTCTTCAATTTCCTTTACATTCTATTCCTTTTTCCTACTTAATCTATTTCTCTTTCCTCTAGCATCAGCTTTACTGTTTCTTTTTTCTTCCTATCACCATCCTTTAATCTTTTTCTGCAACCTCCCAAGTGAACAGAACATTGAAAGTTTCACTGATTTCCTCAGGAACTCCTGCCATAGCCAGCTGCCACTTAAGAATCACTCCTGAACACTTGTGAAGCATAGGAAAGCAAAAGCATTTCCTGCCAAACAGGCATTTAGATGAACACCAATTGCAAGGAAGTCATGCCTATTTATTGTAAGCACAAGAACCTTGTTTACAGAAAGCAATAGAGTCAAAAATAGTTTCCAATACATTTGAGCTCATCAAGATGCTTATCACTTGGCAAGTTATGTTTACTTTGGAAGAGGTTGTGGTATTGAATTGAGATGAGCACCCTTTTGTTGCTTTGAAAGCACGCTGAAATAAAAAAGCAGATCAGCAAGAAACACAGCATAGATAATGGAAGACACTGTGTTTTCACCGATGTATTTCATAGACTTTTGTGTCTATGGGATCATAATCTGACACTGTGATGTGCAGAGGTTAGAAGAGCCCTGTGTGGCTGTGCAGCTCCAGACCTGTAGGGTCCCCCCACAGCATGGCATGCTCACCCATTCCTGCCCAGAGGTCATGCCATGGAAGCCCACACCTCACAAACCTATACTGAGAGTGCAGAAGATGAATTTAAAAGGGCCTCTGAATTAGGAACAGCTGCTTTCCATGTTTTGGTCTTAAGAAAAGTCCCAAGCCATGTGCAGCACCACTGAAGTCAGTTGGGTGAGCCTCTACAAACCAGACTAGTGTTCTTCCTTATTCTTTGAGCATTAATCTGCCACTCAACAAATGCCAGTTATTGAAAACAAAACTGTGCTCTACAACTTCATAATTCCACCTCCCAGTTGCCTGGTGCTTTGTGTGTAGAGCTAATCCCTTTGCATTTTCCAGCTGAAAAGATGGATTCCTCTGTGAGACCTACTTATTTCTGGCACATTCTGAAAACACAGAATGAATAGAAACAATAAAATATGCTATTTTATTTTCGAGGTATCACTCATAGCATGTAACTCAGCTACACCTAAGTTATACACCTATTACACCTAAGTAAATTAGCTACACCTAAGAAATATACCTAAGTTTAGGTATATTTCTGACTTTTATTATAAACAACCACTTCCAAGATCACTTGTGTTAAGAAAAATGCATTGATAGCTAGCCTGATACTCAGCAGGCCGAAAAAGTTTATTTCACAGTCATTTCTAATACAAATTATCTACAAAGATTAAGAGGAAAAAAAAAGACTACATAAACTCACAATTAACCAAGTAATTTAAGTAACTTACATGAACAGGATCCAAAATTTTGACTGCTGCTTTGCTGCCATTTTTCTTATTTAACACCTTGAAAACTTTTCCATAAGTTCCTTTGCCAATAGTCTCAATTATTTCCCAGGTGTCTGAAGGATCGGGAAAGCTATCAAATATTATTGTTTTCCCAGACAATGGAAGCATCTCAAATGATGGCTCCTAGGAAAAAGAGATATCAGTGTTCACTCAACAAATGGTTAACAGCAATTAGTTTACCAGAAATGGGAAGAGAAAGACACAGTCCAGCCTCAAACTCTAGAAATGTGTTTGCATATAGTGTGCATGCACAGATAGCATAATGAATAAGAACTGCTGCACTTGAATTTTCCTTCATTTGATATCATGTTGACTGCACAATATCAAATGTGCAGTATTTGGTATGTGCAGTCAACACAGTACCAAATGAAGGGAAATTCAAATGATAATTTAAACCAAAATCAAGTTTGAGTGAAGCCAGTTTCCCATGCACTTCAGTGAATATATTTGTAACTCCCAGATCTTTGGAGGGACAGGGGAATGAGGGTCAAGTTCATAAAATTCCAAAGGATTTAGGTCCATTACAAAGAACCAAGCAAGAAGTGGAAAAAAACCCACACAAACATCCTAAATAGTAGCATTAGGTTCATTCAAACTCTTACAGTGAACAATCACTTTTACAAGCCAACTCGTAGGATTTGAATTATGACATAGATCTCAATAGGCCAAGCAGATCAAAGTGACAGATCTTTTCACAATGCTATAGTCTTCTGACAGTCAAGCAGTCATGGAAACATGCTTACCAATGTACATCCTTTAACAAGTGGTTTACAAACTGCAAAGGAAACACCTTTTACAATGATTGAATTGTATCCACCACTGACCAGGGCCCATGACAGATACAATTCACCAGGAAACATGCAGCAGTCTGTTGTGTACTTGGTACTGCAGCCAGTGCTGGCCCAGCTCCTTGATTCCAATACTGTGGGAACTAAATGACCCAATTCTACCTGATACAACGAAATCTCCCTTAACACTGTTCCAGGTTAAGGTCAAAGTAAAGATCAAGATACAGCTGTAATACAGCTGTAATAAGTATAGTCTCAGTTTTCCATTCCAGAGTCAAAATTTGCTTCTTTCTCCTGTCCCCTGGGATTCACAAAGACTCAACTCAGGACACTGACTGTAGTCTCTTCCTAAGGCATCACCTTATGCCTAGTCTTCATCCATGCTTTGGGAGCTTCACTACATTCAGGTCAAGCCCCCAAAAAAGAACACAATTGAGTCACAACTTTCTTTTTCTTTGCCTTTAAAGTAGTGCTCAAATACTATAATTCTGTTGGCGTTTTGTAATCACTTCATGCATAAATGCTTTGTAATTAGCTTCTGCACTCTGTTGTAATTAGGGGACTATACAAAACAATAACTAAATTTGGGATGATAACGGGATGAAGATTCATAATCTCAAACCCTTGCTTTGAGGGTTTCAATAACGATGGCATTTCAAAGCTTCTCATTCTAAGCTTTAGTATTTTAAATTGAGGCTAACTATTTGTTTAAGATCTTAGTGGATACTACTAAACTTGTGACTAGTGATTTTTTTCATAAGAGGAAAAAAAGTAAAAAAGTATCAATGGTTGCCTTCATAAGAACTGAGGCATCCAAACCATATTGAAGCCTGTCTACATATAGGCTATTTTCTACAGAATATGTAATTTTCCATTGAAATCTAGAGCCTGCTGTGTCTCCCATTACAAGAAAACACAGGAGCTTCTGACCCAGGCAGCAGGAGATATGCAGCACTGCAGAAAGGAAGATTTATTTATTCCCTTTCGAAGATGAGCACTTCTGACACAGGAACTCAAAGAACAGCTTCGCATATTTAGACTGAGCCAGAGCCAAGCTGGGAACTCTGATACCTTGAATCTTCAAATAAGCAAAGGACCACCCTGCTGCAAGGATATTTTAAACTAAGCAGAACACTCCAAGAAGCACCATTCCAACCTGGTGCTTCAGACAGCCTCCCAGGCTCCATTAACTCCCTATACACTGACAGAATGAAGCTGAAATTCATTGACTGCCAGTATCAATTGCTTATTTGTCTGCAAAGACTGCTACAATGACAACTGTTAAAGGGCCAAGGAAACGTGATCCTGCAGGTGCTATTTGGCTACCAGAGAAAAAGTGCTAGAGAAATTGCCATGTGCTTTTGTTTTCTTTTGACAATCACAACAGTTGCACATCACCTAGTCTTAAGAGAAGTCACCACATACTTAAAAAATATGCATTCAGTAGCTGTCATATTTAGTTCAATAATTTAAGAGTGCTATTCCAGAAAAAATTATTCACCCTAGTTTTCTTTTGATTTACAGCTTCAAAATGATAACTTGAATAAATTATAATGAATACCATGTTTCCTCACTTTCACCAAGTTTAAAAGCAAGTTCCTGCAGATAAATTGTTTATTTTTCACTTTTATTATTAAAAATATATTAAATAGAACGATCTCAAACTCTTACATTCTGGATGATGGATAATGTTTTATTACATCTCAGTGAAGTTGTCAAAGCTGATAATGATTTAACCTCATATTGAAGCAATAAATTGGACTGCTCCTGGAATATGTCTGGATGCCCAACCAATTGGATAATTTATCATACCCTTCACCATTAAAAATTTACTTAAAAGACACCACAATTTATAACTTGATCCAAACCTCCAAGTTGGGAACGTACCCTTGAACTGCTAGGAACAAAAGAGCTTTTTAAAATACTTCTGAAGTATTTTCAGTGTGACAGTTCAGTGTGACAGTTCACTCAGCTTCTGCTCAGATTTTGGCTAACCTGCTGGGGAGGCCTGATGGATGCTGGGCACAGTAAGTCAAAGCAAGAGCACCAAGGCAGACAGGTGGTCTGAAAGAGCTCAAGAGCCATTATGAGCACTACACACCATTATCACTGGCAAATCTCTGTCTCCTGTCATCTTTCCTGTTGCAGTTTCCCCAGAATCTGCTCACTTATAAAAAATGGTATAGGCCAAACCTCCAAGCTGGAAGGTATAAAATATCAGCTTACCCAAAAAGCTTCAGAAGCAAATCCAAGAGGAGCTGGACTGCTGAGGCCTTCCTGCTGCTTGGTGTGATAAAGGGAACACTTGTACTGTGACAGAGGAGAAAGGACAAGCAGTCTCTTAGCCCCAGCTAGGTTTCACTTTTTTGGTTTTGCTTGGAGGTGTACAAATTAAGAGTTATAGGTTATAAATTACAAAACCTCATGGCTTGAATGGTGCATAAATGAATTTACGTGATAGACTGACCTAGGGGAAAGGGGATTGAGCCCCTCTTTGTCATGTTGGTTATAGTTCCTAGTGAGCTCATGAAACAAAGTTTAAATCACAGAGTACACTGTCCTGTAAGTTTGAGAGCCAAACAGACTGACTCAGCAATTAAATTCAGGATATTCAGGGCAAGGAAAAAATAGATTTGGAGTTCCAACAAAAACAAGATTTGGTTGGGGTTTTTTTTTGTTTGTTTTTTTGTGGTTTTTTTTTGTTGGTTGGTTGCTTGGTTGTTTGGTTGGTGGTTTTTTTATCTGAGAGGGGGATCTAGTGCCAGTTCTAAGAACAAACTGGGCGAGAATTCTTTTGTGGCATTCCTATGTGACATTTTGCTTCACATCAAACATGTGCACCCTGTGGAGCAGACTTCAGGGCAAATATTAGAGATAGCCTGGATACCCAGAGATGCCCTGTTCAGCAGCTGTGCTGACAGACCACTGCATTCTCCATCTTTTCAGTATCTAGTCAGTTTGGAGAGGGAAGGGGTAGCCTGCTGAAGAACACAGTATATTGCCTCTGGAGTATATCATTGCTGCCCAGGCGACTCAGTGAAGTACATTTATCACACCCAAAGCTTCAGACACAAACCAATTGCCCTGTGGAGGGCTTTTTAGTCAAGGCCACAGAGCACTAGAGACAACACAGTCACATGGGAATAAGCAATTGGTTTTGCTTCTGCCAGCTGGGTCGAAAGCACGATGGAGCGTGAATTTCATATAGAATATCATATGTTAATTCAATACTTTCACCACTGTTTCATACCACCTAACTGTGCAACTTTCTAATAAACTTTCCTTCCCCAATAGTTTCTGAATAGACCTTCATCTCACTTGGATGAAAACATACCCATCTCCTCCCTAAAGAGTTAATAAATGAGAGTTCCTTGCCACATGTCACTCATCTTCCTCCACAGAGTGAGCCTACAGGATTAGCAAAGCAGACATCTACTCACATTTAACTACAACGAATGCAGCCTTTATGTTCTCATCAGCACCTTGTCTCCTGGCTACCACAACTTTCTGGTCTTGAAAACTGGGACCAGGAGCCTATTGGTTCAGTTCAAAACATACATAATGAGGTTGTCTTATGGTTTATTTGTTTATTCCTCTTTCCTTCACATTGTAAACATTCCTTATGTTTAACCAGACAGCTCCTACACACATCCTACCCTGAAATGTGCCAGACATCTTCCTGTAGGTCACAACTGGCAGATGCCAGGTGCCAAGAATACTGGCACACATGGCATATCAGGTCTGTTACCTCTCTGAAGGTGACACAATGCATTCCTGCAGATCATGAAACTTCAACCTCTTGCCTAATGGATGCCAGAAAAAGCAATCACCCTAACAAAAACAAAACAAACAAAACCAGACAGCTAGTTATATCAAATAGAAAACTCCATCTCACCTCACTTTCTCACCCCATTTATTGTTTTATTCAATATCTAATTTGGAAGTTCTTTGGTCTGACACTGATCACAAGGCACAATGGGGCCTTCAAATACTTAATGCAATGGCACAATCAAATCCCAAACCACATTTCTTCTTATTTCATGAGTTATGCCACACTGACAAGTACTTAATAAGAAAGTTAAAGGCTGCCACATGGAATTCTTTCAACAAGCCAAAAAGCATGAGGCTACAATATGTCCTTCATCATACTAGCACCTAGCAATTTCTGGATAAATAATTTGATTATTCAACTAAGAGCACAGACTGCAGCTTAGATTCTCAGCTAGAGCTATAATGACTCATTTATACAGCATATTATCTTAGCTATCACTCAAAGAGTAAGTTTTGCCCTGGAAATTCAAATATCACCCCATTCAACTC